CGAAAGTCAAAATCTTACGAAATAAATGGTTTGTTTGTGTCCACATAGAAACGTATATTTCAAAATTTTTTGAAATTATAATTTCTTAAAAATAATAATCAAGGGATCGAGTGAAATCATAGATGAACGTTAGCTGGATAATAATAACTCTATGTTCAAAAATTTGATATCATTGTTTTAAGCAATTAATGTTTTTCTCAGCCAAATAATGTTAGTAAGCCGAAAAAACTTTAGGACATACACTTCGACGTATACTCTATAAACTGGGAAAGTACAAGCAAAATCTAAATGGGTGAACTTCCTCCTCTTAAATGTTTTAACCCGAGCAGCGTTCAGTTATTTTTTGAATGCTTTTACTCTAACAGACTTATAGCAACTACAATAGTATAAAAATAGGAAATAGTGGGCTAGGAGAAAATTCCAAGGCTGCCAAACGTGATACTGTCTCATGTAAATACCTCCCTCAACTTATGTGATAATTTAATGTTACTGTTGATAATATTAAGGAAGGGCACCCATTTAGATTTTGGTTCAAACTTTTCAAGATTGCAGAGAACACTTCAGAATATATATTAAAAGAGTTTGGAGGTTTACTGGCATATTTTCAAGAATAATTTCTATTTTAATTTTTATCGTCCTTTTCTGCCCATTTTTTAAAATTTAAATAAAATTTTACTTTTCAGTTTGAAACATCGGTTTTGTAACCAAGCGATAGGGCGCCTCAAGGTGTGTATGTGAAAAGATTGTCATCGTTCTCGGAGAAGGTTTGAAAAATTCGGATTTGATCTTGAGAATGAGTTTTGGGGGCCAAAAGTATGCGTTTTCGAGACCCTGTCTGAAGTTTCTCTGTGGGAAAGGATTTTGGAGCGAAAATGTGAGTGTAGAAGTTGTTTATCATGAATGGAACTACAAATCGAAAAACAAAATTTGGAATTATTTTTCAGAATCCAGAGCGCAAATCGTTCAGAACCTTGAACCAAATTTCGCTCGAAAGAAGCATTTTGGACCAAACTCTGAGTACAAACATTGTTCAGAATTGAATTTCGGAGTCTCTCACGAGAGGTTTTTCGAAAATCTTTTTCTCAAAATTCGCAAAAAAAATGCTAAATGCTAAAATTGAATTTGAAAATTTACAAAAAAACAATTTAAAAAAGCCCTTGTGAAGAACTCGAGAATTCGATTCTGAGCAACTTTTGTACTCAGAGTTTTAGTCCAAAATGCTTCAAGCGAAACTAGCCATAAGGCTTTCTTCAGAATAGTTTTAGCTCTAAATCCCATCTGGAAAATGAAGTTAGATTTCTACGTTAAATTTCTACGTCAAAACTCCATCCGATTTTGAGTTTTCTTTCTTATACAATTTAATGTTCTCTATCGAACTAGGCTAAAATCAATTCTTCATATTTATAACTGAAATTTCTAACGAAATTTTATAAATGGAGCACAAAAAAATGGAAAAAAGATTAACGTTTTTTTATAAAAAACAGTAAGTCCGCAAAGCAAAAAGATCTTTGGAACATATACTTCGAAGTGTCCTCTACAAGCTGGTAAAAAAACGGGTGGTTGAGTTAATCAGAATATAGTTATTAGAACAAAAACCTGCACAAGTTATGTGATGGTTCAGAGTCAGAAATCTCTGATATAAAATCAAATATGAGAGAAAATTATTATTCAAAAGGCTTTTATCTATGTGTCCAACACTGGTCTCTTATGAATGATCTGTATGCTACGCTTGAGACAAACTTGAAAAAATAAAGTTCTACTTCGATCTTGAATGGGGCACAGTTATTTCACAATCATTTAATATTCGTATGTGGAATGTTATGCGTCAAACCCTCAGGTGGAGGTTTTCTTTAAAAGTCATCGACTGTCTCTACTCTGTCTAAGGACTTTGAGATGATTAACAGTTATTTCAAGAAATGAGCAAATAAACATCATAAAGAAAATGGTTTATCAATTTTTTTAATCATATTTCTTTTTTTATCTACTTCTGTATCCTTTTGTGTATTCGGGCAATTATCTAGTTTTTGATACTCCGCTTTATTTGCTCTTCATCTAATCTTCGAAAATGAAGATCAAGATCTTTTATAACAAAGCGCTACTCCCTATTAACTTTATGATGACGCTAGCGGGTAGTTGCAAACATTTCAGTTGTAGAATACTTTAACCGAAAAACAAAGAAATAAGTTTATTGAATCACCTCGCAAACTTTTTGCTTCCATGGTTGTTGGTTTTTAAACAACAAAAACTAGAATAACATACCACTAATAATCAAAAATTTACACATCACAGAACTCTATCGACATCAGTTACAATGTACTGAAATCATATAATGCTTATTCTTTCGTCGAGACATTGTTCGTTTTACAAAACGATGGTTGGCCAACAGCGACAATTGTGAAGTAAAATTTCAAACTTTTGGTATTAGTAATAAGTATTTTTAAATAGAACTACTACTTGAACTCCTTGAACAAAAGGTCGTACCAGTCCGTAAATACTTCTTTGTTCATTATAATTTATTTTTCTCTTTAAACTGACAACTTCCGAAGTGACGGTTAATAGGGTAGTTCGTCGGAGGATTTTATTTTAGATTTGTTTGATAGTCGTGTTAAAACAGAAGACTACAAAACGTTTTTTAATCATACATTATTCGTTTTTTTTTGTTAGTATAGTGTACATATATTTGTGATCAACCTGGTTTACTGATCAAATAAGTATTTATAGAACACGAAAAAGAAAAAAAGAGAAAAAAGTTGGACAAATAACCTACACTAGTCGACAATCAGCTTGGTCTAAAAAGCTGAATCAGCTATGCAGTTTTATCAGGACCGAATCAGAGTCGGAAAATCAGCTTCGAGAAACTGAAAACTATTCTCACAAAAAGTTTTTTTCTTTCTTTTGCTCCTTATTGGTTCACAACTGAATATCTTCATCAGTGGTTCCAGGACTCATTCAAGTAGCCACGTCATGGTGAGAACTCAGGAAGTGCACTTGATAGTAACACGAATATCTTCCCATTCAAGATGATACTCTTCTTAAATAATTATAATAGTCGAATCTATCGAATTTTTGTACTATTCTAAATTTTTCTCACAGTTTAGAGATATTTGTTAGTTACATGAAACTTTTCTTCTAATAACTGATTCAGAGTTGAAAACTCGGAATCAGCTCTAAAATTTTCGAATTTGTCTTTTTTAGAAAACTCAGTTCTGGTTCGGTCATCAGATTCAGAGCTGAATGAACTGCTGAGACTTTTCATCTCTGAATCAGAACATACATTTTAATCAGGTCTAATTTGGCCCTGATAAAACTACATAGCTGATTCAGTTCTTCGGTGCGAGCTGATCATCGACTAGTGTATCGATCACAAAACACTAACCATCAAATACAAAACATATCGATTTTAAATGCATTTTCAAGGAAGAGAACAAGAAGAAAAAAGTTATTATTGTGCATAATAATGGTGTAAGGAGAAGATAGGTGGGGTAATAAATTCATAAAATCTACAATAACTTGAATAGATAGAAATAAGAAAAAATTTGTATGAAAGTAAAAAATAATCTTTTTTGTGAGCTTGTTGGTATTTAAAAAAGTACATTATCAAGGGTCAATGAAATATTTTTGATTTAGAAGATGTTGTCGAACTACAGCTTCACTAAATTTAAATATGATCTCTGTTAAGGTGCCGGAAATTCGAAATTCAAGTAAGATTTTTTTTCCCATTTATTTATACATGGTTAGGGGTAGAGCGCATCGAGCTGAGCAAGAAAATGTGGTTTTTAATCTTTTTAAGAAGAAAAAATGTGAAGTATTTTGCGAAGCTAAAATTTCGAAAAATAAAACAGCTCTAAGATTCAGAAAAATCCATCAGTTTCAAAACAATTCAAATTATTTTCTTTTTCGAGCCTCTAACTTTTCGAAAATATTTTTGACAGATTCAGCATCAAAAACCGAATATGAGAATGATGCTTGATCGAGATCGAAGTCAAAAGCCTATCCAGTATGGACGTTTTTGGATCCCCTCTATATACAGTTCATAAATAATTTTGTAAATCAGTGAAGAGATGGAGGATATTTGTGTGCTTCATTAGAACTGCCATTAAACGAAGTTTAAAAATACGAATCACTTATTTTTCGATTTTGCTTTGTTATTGAGAAAGTTCATTTTTTCTAAACCAGAGCGAAAAAATCAGAATTCGCCTCGTACTTCTCAGTTTTCTCCATCAGAACTCATTTTTTGTACAATAAAACTTCGAAATCAGCGTCAAAAACTGACTCAAATGATATATATTTTTATTCTATCCGACTAATTGTGCTTATTTTTCGAGTTGTCACATTACTAAGATTTTCATTAAAAAATGAAAATTAACGAAAAATTTTGAAATATATAAAAATGAGTTCAGATGTGTTGAAAATGAGTTCTAATGGAGAAAACTGAGAAGTACGAGGCGAATTCCGGTTTTTTCGCTCTGGTTTAAAAAAAATGAATTTTCTCAATAACAAAGCAAATACAAAAATCGGCTCCATCTCTTCACTGAAAAAAAACGAGATAGATGACGAATGAACTTTTATAGAGGGATCCAAAGCGTCCATACTGGATAGACCTTTGACTTCGATCTCGATCAAACATCATTCTTCTATTCAGTTTTTGATGCTGAATCTGACAAAGAAACGTTAGAGAAAGTCGAAAAAGAAAGAAAATTTTTTTGAAACCAAAGGATTTTTCGAAATTTTAGATGCTTCGCATTTTTTCTTAAAAATTAAAAAACCACACTTTCTTGCTCAGCTCGATGCGTTCTACCTAACCCGGTATATAGCAATAGTGGCAAATGTTTCGTTTCTGCAAGAAGACACTCAATTGGCTTGTCATCTGTCACACATATGCCGCTATTTTCAAGTAATTTTTAATGATTTATTTTTTCAGTCATATATTTTCTACTGAAGCGTGACTTGTCAATGAGACAAATTATTTTTATTAGTTCTGAATCAAATTAGACAGAAAAATGTGGGAATTGAAGTAAAGACATTTATTCACAACCACTTGGTGCTTAACAAATGAAATTTATTTGTTTCAACAGTGTTTGCAAAAAATCAAATCTTTGTTAAAATGGTGATTTGGAGATAGTTTTGACTCTTAGAATTATTTGAACTAATTTTTTTAGATATTCTATTCTCATTCATCTAATGGCTTATCCTACTGATCGTCAAATAGCCAAGGTACCTTATCCAAAATCTAATCGATTAATGGAACAAGATTTATTTCATTCAAATGGAAATCCATCAATAAGCAAATTAACGGAACATCTAAAAAATGAAGGTCTTCTTGATGAGCGATGCGGATTACGTCTTATTGAATTGGCCAAAGGTTTATTTTCACGGGAACCAAACATGATAGCAGTACATCGACCATTGACCATTGTAGCAGATATTCATGGACAATTTTATGATTTGTTAACAATTTTGGCTGCAGGCGGAGATCCAGCTAACACAAAATATCTGTTCTTAGGTGATTACGTTGATCGAGGACAGTTCGAATGTGAATGTATTTTTCTGTTATTTGCATTAAAAATTAATTTTCCACAAAATATTAATCTTTTAAGAGGGTATGTATTGAAATCTCTATGTACACCTGGAAATCGAGATTTTCCCAAAAATCGATATCGATGCTCTTTTCTAGTAATCATGAAACTCGTCAAATGACAAAAGCATTTCAATTTAAAATAGAATGTAAAAAAAAATATTCCTCCGATATTTATAACGCTTGCATGGATACATTTGATACGATGCCTGTATGTGCACTTGTTGATAAGCGTTTTTTATGTATGCACGGTGGCATTTCACCCGATATTCGAACACTAAAAGATATTGAACGCTTAAATCGCTTTTCTGAAACACCAACTTCAGGTCCGTTGTGTGATTTACTTTGGTGTGATCCCGCGGAGGATTTTGATGATGTTGAAAAACCAAATCAACCCAATTTTGCGCCAAATAATGTACGTGGTTGTGGTTACTTTTTCTCGTATTATGCGTGTCGTGATTTTTTATTAAATAATAATTTATTGGGAATTATTCGAGGACATGAAGTACAAAAGAATGGTGTTCGATTTTTTCGTAAATCATCACGAACAAATTTTCCCGTCTTAATATCCTTATTCTCGGCGCCGAATTACTGTGACACTTATAATAATGTGGCTGCAATTCTAAAATTTGATGAAAATAAACAAATGCAAGTTATCCATATTGAGGCGCGACCACATCCATTTGTGTTACCCAATTATGAAAATGGTAAGCATAATCTATCTTTTTTTAAAATTTCAAACTATTTCTCATTTTTCATCTCAAAATTACAGTTTCAATAACTTACCATAATCTAATTTTAGCATTTCAATTTGGTGAAAGATTTATCTTGTATTATGTCACTCAACTATTGTTAAATATTTTAAATATGTATTCACCCGACGAATTAGCTGATGAAGATGGACGATTTGATAAAACTGGTGAAGAATTGTTAAATAAAAAACGTCTTATTCAAACAATGGAACGTGCCTATGCTGATGTTAAAAAAACAAATAAAATTGCTTTGAATTTACGAGGTTTAACACCATCGTATAAAGCCTATAAAACATTATTGGAACGAGATGATGTTAAACAATTGATAGCTGAAGCGGAAAAAGGTCGAATTAAAAATTATGATCAAGCTATTGAATTAGATCAAATATTTGAAAGAAGACCAGGAACATAAAATTTATTTAGTATATACTACAAACAAATTATTGTTTTCATTGTTATATGATGTTTGTCATATAGTTCATTTTGTTTATTCGAACAGACACTTCACAAGTCAGTCTATAGCGTACTCTACAAAAGAAAATCCTTTTTTTTCATATTTTGTCGAAACTTTAATTCGTTCATTAATTAGGCTAAAATAGACATATGCTTCCACAACTATTCTAGAATTCTTAGTTTGACTACGAAAGTGGAAAAGGTGCAACAACTTTCCTATAGAAATCACAATTCTGAGATTCCCGACAACTATCGCTAGAAAGTATAAATTCCAAGAAAACTTCATACATTGCTTTAACGACTATGACTGGTAAAAACTTTTTTTGTCGAATGTTGATTGAACGAAGATATCTTCAGTCGTACTTGAAATAGACGAACAAAAATATTTGAAGTTGATTCTTCAGGATTATATTTCTTTCCGTTTTATATACATACGCCCACGGTCAACAAAATACTTATTTTTACTTTAGTTTTTGAGTAATACCAAAATAAAGTCAATAATCAAATGTCGACAGTAGTTGAGAAAAGAAACTAACATGTAATGGCGTTAATTTATGGCTATAAGCCCGTATAGTTCCTCTATTGCACAAATTACATCCTTGTCGAATGTAGTTCTTATAGAGAAGCACTCTATCAATATAGAAACAAGGCCTATACTTTGTAACGCACATTCATATGTATCCAATGAATCAATGGTTATTTCAACAATCCTCTGTATAAGGTGCTGGAAATTCAAAACCATAGCAAAGTATTTTTTTCATTTCTTTTCACACGATTGGGTACAGCGCATCGAGCTAAGTAAGAAAATGTGGCTTTTAACCTTTTAAGGAAGAAAAAATTCGACAGGTCTAAGATTTTGAAAAATCCGTCAGTTTCAAAACAATTCAAATTATTTTCTTTTTCAGGCTTCTAACTAAAATATCTTTGGCAGATTCAACTTCAAAAACTGAGTAAGAGAATGATGCTTGATCGAGATCGAAGTCAAAGGTCTGTCCAGTATGTCCAGTACGTTTTCGATCCTTCTATATAAAGTTCATAAGCAATTTTGTAAACTTACGAAGAGATGGAGGGTAATTTTGTGCTTCATTAGAACTGCCATTAAACGAGCTTTAAAAATATGAATTGCTTATCTTTCCATTTTGATTTGTCACTGACAAAATTCATTTTTTCTAAACCAGAGCAAAAAATACGGAATTCGTGCTGACGGAAGAGTTTTGCGAACTTTTAGACTGTCCGAATTTTTTCTTCCTTAAAAAGTTAAGAATCACTTTTTCTTACTCAGCTGGATGCGGTCTATCCAACCATGTACAAATAGATGGGGAAAACAAATCTTACTCGAACTTTGAATTTTCGACACCTTACTAATAGTGAAGACAACAATAGCTCGGTCTGGTTCAAGTTCAAGTTCAAATTTATTTTGCATAAGCAAGGACATCACAAAAGAAAGTAGTCTGGGTCAAAACCGATGAACGGCTTACTATAAAAATTCTCCATAATCCATGTTCAACAGATGTATAATTGTTACGCTTCAACAGGTATATCCATGGAGTGAAAGATTGATTTGACATGATACGAATGAATATGATTGAAGATACGCACCATCTGAACTGAACAATATAAAGACTCTTTCACTCGAACAATCAACCGTCCTCGTATTCCCGCTCTTGCACTGAAAACGTTAAGATTCCAATCAAGACAATACAAGTGAACCAGAATCAAAAGAATACCAGGCACCAAAAGTTATATAGGCGATGATGCTCCAATGAGACTTAAAGTTTGGAGCGTTCAGATTCTTCTCTTCACGAAAAATTTTAAGGACATTTTCCATTAAATGCAATACATTCAAGTTTCTGTATAAATTCCTTCCATTTGGTAGTGTCAAAATTTAGCTGCTCTTTTGTACAGCTGTTCCATGGATTAATGATACCATAAACGACAAAATGATTGCAAACTTCTTGTGCGTTCTCTTTATTTCTTGTGTTTGTTTGAGTATCATAAAAAATAGTACATATTATGAAACAGTGAGTGAAGTATTGTATACAAAAGCACATGAATTGAATACATTCTCATACATTTCTGAGGAAGTGAAATTACATAGAAGTGCACAGTTTAACCAATGTTATCAGGAAAATATTGTTGAATTATGTGAATAGCCAGGATATAATTCTGATTTAACCCTATTGAGTTAATATAGAATATGTACAATGAGAAAATAAAAGAATAATAATCCAATATCACAAGGGGAACGAGACAATGCTGTTGATGAAGAATGCAACGGTCTATCACAAAAAGTTGTTCCAAAATTTAACTCAATCTGTATATGAACAATTTGTATTTTGTTTTAGCTTTCTTTTTGTATTAGAAATGTCTGTGCTTGTTCTATTTAAGTCTTGATTTAAATTTCTTCCAATATATATCCAACCAGTTGTTCGAGGAGTGCGCGAGTACTCGAAAATAGACCCTCGCCGAAGGCTCGAACCCTCAGAAAATGACACTTCGGATCCTCGATATAAGCTTTCGAGGAGTATCGATTTCGAGTCGTCGAACAGAGATGTTCGGGACTTCCGCGGCCTCGTTGCATGGGATGCGAGGACTCGGAAGTCCCGAACATCTCTGTTCGACGGCTCGAAATTTCTCGCGAGGGCTTGCTACCTATATGAACTCCGAGGGCTCGAAATCGGTATTTTCGGGTACTCGGCGCACCCCTCGAACGACCGTTTAGTAGCGATATCATACAATGACATAACTGCGTCAGATACAATCGAGCAATAACATAACATTTCACTACTAGTCTAAAAGTATTGCACAATTTTAATCGTACAGGATATAGAAAAAGAACGTAAGATGCACTTTTACAAATTTATAGTAATTTCTTTTGATTCTCTGTTCATTATCTATACGTGAACTGACTTTGTGCACTTTTCCGCTGTTGTTAAAAACTTGTTAATCAAAACATTTTTTTATATTGACGAAAAATAGAAATGTATGTATTTAAGTTCGAACTTGTCGTTATATAGGACTGTAAACGTTTAACAAAAAAAACAGAATTTATTTTATGCAAAAAATATCTTTTTATACAATGTTTTTCTATCGAAGAAAAAGAGAACGCAAACAATTAGAAATTCTGAATTCTCTAAAATCCATAAGATATAAAGAGCAAAACTTTTGATACTAGATGTGGACGTGTATAATAAGTCATTGAAAATTTTATTAAAAATCTTTTTTAATTTCATAAGCTCAGAACAAAATAAAGAATATTGAGCAGTAAAATGGATCATATCATATAGACTGATTTAATCTATTGTATAGTCATCAATTTTATATATAACTTTTGTAAGAACGAAAGGTTCTTGAACATTTTTACTTGAACAGTATAAACATGATGTATCAGAACGTGTGACTATACGGAAAAGAATAAGACGAAAAGATACTAATCCCTATGTTCAAAAATTTCATAAGTTCATATTGTTGTTTTTTCATGTAAAAAATGATGAAAAAGAAATACGATTAAACAAAAGAAGACACATATTGTTTCTTCTCTTGATATATATATATATATATATTTTGTTTTTAAAAACACATTTTTTTTTTTTTTTGAACAAAAAAAAATAAAATAAAATAAATAAAAAAATAGAACAGAAATAAACAAGTAGTAACAAAGAAATGTTTTTAAGCGCACAACGAAAAAGTCTCACGTAAGAACAAAAGACTCTTTTTAAGCATATTTATTAATAAATAACACGAAATATTTTTTTTTTATCTTTTAAACAATTCATTTTCAAACGAATGACTGTGGTGTGTGTGCATGTGTATGTAAAAAAAAAATTTTTTGAAAGACAAAAAAAAGATAGTACGTAACAGTAGATATAGAGGGAGCGAGATAATTGCTGATTTACGTTAAAAAAAAAATGAGAATAAGAATAAAAAAATGAACGAAAAATATGAAGACAAACATATGAATAGATTCCAGTTTAATGTGTAATTATTATTTCACAATGTCATACCCATACGTTGTAATGCCAATAGAGCGTTAACAGCTTTCTAAAAATAGAGAAAAACCATTTTATATTTGTCTTTTTTTTTTTCTTTTTTTTTTTGTGTCCGTTTTATTTTTGAATTACCTGCCAGCGTCGTCTAATAACAAAACGTCTTAATTTTTTTGTTGATAATTTTTTTTCCGTTTCATCATCAATATTTTTTGGTGAAACAGTTTTTGGATGTCGTGTTAACCATGGATGTTGAAGACAATGTTTAGCTGCCAATCGTTTACTAAAGTAAATAAAAACAAAACAAAATAACGAAAAATATTGAAAGAGAATCAAATCCAATAGATTATCGAGAATATTGTAATTTAGAAATAAGACGTTTTTTTTTTTTAATGATAGTAAATTTACTTGTCTATAACTTACTCTTTATCTTTGACTAAAAGTTTTGAAATAAAATCTTTTGCATCCATTGATATATCTGAAAATGCTTCATCATCAAAATCATAATTTGCTCGATTAATATTTGCATACGTATCATTATCATTATCGCCCATAAATGGACTTAAACCGGATAATCTAGAGTAAAAAAAAACCAATAAAATAAAATTTTATTATCTTTAACTTCAATTTTATTGTAGAATCTACTTACAATACATAACAAATGACACCAACAGACCTGATAAAAAAACGAAATGAAATAAAAAAGAGAAAAAAGTTAAAAGAAAAAAAGAAGTGTTTTAATCGATATATATTGTTATAAATTTACTTACCACATATCTGTTCCATATCCGACTCGATCAAAATTAATAACTTCTGGTGCAACAAATTCTGGTGTACCAAATAGAACTTTTAATTGTTTTGTTGGATCATATTTTCGTGCTAAACCAAAATCAATTATTTTTATTCGATGACCATCACGATTTAAACATAATATATTTTCAGGCTAAAATAAAAATAATATAAATGATATTATATAAAAATTGAATATATCATTTTAATTAATTAACTATCAAGTTAAATATATTATTACTTTCATATCGAGATGAATAATATTTGATAAATGCATAAATTGTACACCTTCACATATTTGCATCATATACAATTCACATAATCTTTCAGTTAAAATAAAATCATCATCAATAACACGTTCAAATAATTCTCCACCAGTAATTCTAAAAAAATTTATATAATTTAAAAATAAAAATAATTTAGAAAATAATATTTTTTGTAGAACATACAATTCCATAATAAGACAAATTTCTCCCTTCTTTTCATATGCATCATACAATTGTAATAATCTTGGATGTTGTAATGCTTTCATAATATCAATTTCATTAATAGCTTCAATACGATCTTGTTCTTTTGATATTTGTATGAATTTTGCTGCCAATTGTCTATCTGTTAATTTTTCACGACATTTTTTAACTTCACCAAATTTACCTCTACAAAAATAAATAAATAATGAGAATAAATTGATGACATTAAAAATTAATAATTTTTTACCTTCCAAGAAATTCTAATAAATCATATTCATCAGTGACCCATTTTGTTTTTTTAATGGCTACATTTCGTGGTAAAAATGGTGGATCTACATCTGAAAAAAATTGGATATTTTTTTTTTTTAAAATCATAATCATTAGTCGAATTTACGTAAAAAATAAGTTTAAATTACTTACCATCTTCTAAGACAACTTCAGATGGCTGCATTATACGTTCGGCATCGGGTCTAAAGAAACAAATTTAAAAATAATAAATAATTTAAAATTAAAATATTTTATGATTATTATTGTATTTTGTATCATACGAGAAATGAATGTATGTAAATATTAGATAAAGCGTTACACTATGCACCTGATTAAATTTTTTTTTTTTGTAAATAATCTTTATTAGTGATTTATTATGTGTATAAACATGCACGGTCAATATCTTTTTCTATTTTTTAGATTCTACTAATATTATTACTAGAACAGATATCAATTACTCATTTCAAACATGCTTGTATAGATTCTGACATAGTGGAATGCAAAAGTTTTTTTATATAGCAACAAAATATGGAGAAATAAGAAGAAAAATATGCACAAATATACACAGATAATAGCACCCTCTATTTAAGAATATTGAAAGAGAGAGAGAGAGAATCGTGATATAGATTACATCCATCCTGTATGATATATAAACAAATCGTTGTGTATCTAGACAGAAAATACCATATAGATCGATTCAGGTGGCCTTGTGAAATTCGTTTTACATCAATTGCAATACACGACACACATTAAAGTTAGTACAACATAAACTAAATAATAATAATAATTATTATTCTTACTATCAATATTATTGAAGAGAAAAAACAAAGACAATTATATAGGTCAAACAGAAGCAAATTCTCTTTCTTTTATAACCTAGATATACTGTAAAAATAAAACATATAAGAGGAAATATAGCTGGTGTTTAAACGAAATATAAGTAATTTAATAATTTTTACACAATGAGATTCTTTTCAATAATTTTGATACAACTATGATTTGAATGTAGCATAATCTTACTAAAATAATATTATTATGTATCATCTTTACAATATATACATAGATCTTTTAGTATTAATAGGAGCAAGTTAATTTTGTTACTTACTAAAGCTGATAAAAATATTTAAATTATAGTGAGTAAAGCTGATTGTATTAAAACAATGTGGTTAATATAACCCACCCATATAATCTCATTAATGAGTCTTGTTTATATTTTAATGGCTTATTTGTATCAAATAATGTTGAATCGGAACGAATTGCATCATCGGATAAAAAACGACGATATTGATCGAATAAATTAACTTCAGACATAAATCTTCCTTTCGCAGGCTTAATACTATTATTCATTGATGGTGACATTACCACCTTTTTTCCTTCTATATTACTTGAACTCATGGTCATTGTTGATAGTGATGACAAACGGTTATCATCATTATCACTATTAGTATGTACAACTATTGGTTCAATGATTGGTACTGCTTTAGAAGTAGGCGTAAGAACATTTTCATCAAGATTATCTTCATCAACAGTCCATAACTTTGTTCGACGAGACTGCTGTTCATTTCGAGGCTCATTGAATGGCATTTTTGTTTCTTTCGATAGATTATCGCATGATACTGCTTTAATGTCGGATATTTTTTTAAATTCTGAGTATACTAATTCTTTTTTTGGCGATTTGATAATTGGACTTTTTGCTATGATAGATTCACGTGGTTTCGATGATGTTGAAGATACACGTAATGATCCCCGTCCAAGAGTTTGTCGTTGAAATGTTGCCGATGGTTTTAGAGTTACAGGAGATGGTAGTGAAGGCAGTGTGTTTATGACGGATATATTATCTAAACTTTTTCGTCGATGAAATGTCAATGGAGCACTAGGTATGATCTCATCTGGTTTAGTAAATGATAAATGTTGATCTGTTGTATCACGCGTTTTTTGCATTGATGATATAGTTGGACGTGCAAATGACGGACTTTTTGTAGGACTATATGATTTGAAAATGTTTTTCGATTCATATGAACCCATTGATGATGATGTATCTTGATTATCGCTGTTCGATGAATCACTTGTTGTTGCTGTTGTACTTGAACGTGATAGAATTGATAAAGTATTTTCACTACCAGCTAGCAAACTATCTTCAGATGTTGCATGAGTGATTGTTAATGACAATTGTATGGCCGAATCATCGTCAGTGAGTGGAAAACACTTAGATTGATCCACTGCTTTTGTAAATGTTTTTGGCGAGATTATTGAAGTTTTATTTAAGTTCACCGGTGTAAAAGATTTTGGTACTAATTCTGTACGATAAATATTCTTATTCTTAGGATGTTTTAGGTTTTTCTCGTTCCTATCGTGATTTGTACGAAATGTAGTTGAATTATTTTCAGATGAAATACGCTCATAGACAATAATTGGTGATGATTTCTTTATCTGACTATTTGATTTTTCAACAATGACAATTGGACCATTGTTTGGAAAATTAAATGACATTGAAGTTATTGAAGGTACTGGCGTTGACGGTTTCTTTTGCGGCATATCATTTCGACGTTCCCATAACTTCGAAAAAACGCTATTTTTATGTGAGAAATGATTAGTTCGTCCATTACAACTAGTGCCATTCGTCGGTGAACACGGAGAAATACAATTTCCCCCATTCTCCGTTGATGATGTTGATGATGTTGAACAACATCTTAATGATGCATTTCGTGTATTAGTTAGTTTTTGAAATTTGTTCGTGGTGGATGACATATTCGAAGTCGATCCTTTTTTAAATGAATTGACGATATTGGTTAGGCGTTGTTGTGATAAATGTAGAGCTGATTTATAAGAACAAATTTTTGTTGTATCACCACCATCATTATCTGTGATATTGTTTAGTGATGATGATGAAGATTCTTCAATAGTGTCGTTAAGCTTTTTATCGTTTATCGACAACGATGATTCTATCGATGTCAGTGATGTTAATGATTGTAATGAACGTAATGGTTGATTTAACGAAAATGTATAGGTGGTCGCATATGACGGTAATTGAACAACAATCGTATTCGTTTTAGTCGGTAATGTTGTAACATAATAGTCATATGATGACGACGACTTGTCATTCTGCGCATGAGTAGACGCAGAATATTGATCACCATCATCATTATTAAATGATATTCTTCTATTATCACCACTACGGCTACTAATAAAATTATCATGATGATCATTATCTTTATTTAAATAAAATGGTATAGGTACGTTGATATAAACGGCAGAATTTTGACGATGATTATTACTAATAATAGAATTGAACGATGATGGTGGTAGTGGTGGTGATTTTTTTTTTACAAATCGAACATCGTCCACCGATGACCAACGATGCATTTGGATTCTTTTTTTTTTTCCTTTTGTTATGAAAAAATAAGTAGAGAACGAAAAAGAAGAAAGAAGAAAAAACGTTATCTACACGATGAGTGTATCATATAGAACAAGGAAAGCAAAGAAACTATTGCCTAAAAAAATAAGGTGTACATGTTCAATTGATGATAATGATGATAATAATCGTTGGGTCTTAAGATATTAGAAAATAATAAAATATTGAGTTGTATTACATCAACGCATTCATCTACAATTATCCTTTCTTTTTCTTTCTCGTTCTTTTTCCTCCTTACGATGTTGCATAGGTGACTATATACATCCTCAAGACAAGTAAAATGTACACTTCTTTTTGTACAGTCTTTTATTCTGTCAACCTCTAGTACTATGCATATAAGATATTTTTCTTTATTGTACAAAATAGTACGAATTGTCCTATTCGACGTTCTTTTTTTTATTATTAGTAAAAAAAAAATCGAATTTAACAAGTTACAAGTACAAGAACCTCTAATAATAATTTTATTCTCTCCTTTTCATTTCGTGTATATACAGGATAAAAGGAGCATAATGTGTTTCCATCAGATTTTTGAGTGATACACAAATATTCATTAGGTTCACCTTACGGTAATACAGACAAATGGACAAAAAAATAAGAAATAGTTGATGAAATCTGTTTTTGCAATTCTCTTATTTGGAATGATCTATTAGGATGTTAAAAGTCACGTAATTTATCAATACATTCATTATCACCGAACGTATTGAATGCCAGTTAAATGTCTGAATTGCATTATTATATGGTCAAAGTCTGTACCATATGTTCTAAGCAAAACATTAAGTGAAAGACAAACGAAGATTGACAGTTGTTTCTGAAAGTAACCTTAATATATTCGAACGTGAAGAAACTTATTTTTTATAAAAATAGATAGTTCTGTATTGCAAAGAAGAAATAGAAAAAATGAAAAAAAACTATTGAAAAACACTTTTTCTTTGCATGTTTATAAAGTTAGCATCACAAAATCATGATTCAAGGCTCTGTTGTCACATGCGACTATCAATTTACTTTATATGAGAATCTTCACAATAATTAACTAAATGCTGCTATTGTAAGATGTTCGTTCTTTAAACTATCTTTTGTATATCTTATTATATGAATCAACGGTTGTTATTTATACAAAATCAAATTTTACAGAAAAATAATTTGAGTCAGATGAGTCGTCGGATGAAGTTTCAAGGTTGACATCCAGATCTAAACTTTGTCTATCCAAAAAACTATTTTTTGTTAACAGCTGTAATGTTTTTATCGAATACGGTTCAACGAACCGCGGATGTATGTAATAGTGTCGAAGTTGGTACCACTCATTTCATCGATGAATCAACTTCTGATATTCTCCATTTTATACTTCGTCCACAAAAAACCTATATGAAAACACTTGAGTATTTCATATGTCAACCTCCTCGCGTATCAATTCAAATCGTTAAATCATTACGTCTCTTTTCATCTAGTCTCTAATCTTATTGAACGATTATGATAACATTTATAAAGAAGTAAATGTGTTCGTTAATGATTTCAAAAAAAATAAAATTTGTCAATTTTTCAAGCACTTATTTGTACACTCAGTTTTTTTGTTCTTCACATATTTTCTATACTCTAAAAAAAAAGGTGTTCTTCAGTTTTTCAAAGAACTGAAAAAAATCAATGGGAATTTTGTTGTTCAGTTGTCCCGAATAGAGAACTCAAAATCCGTTCCTCAACTCTCAAGAACTCAAAATTTGTTCTTCAATTTTTGAAAAACGAATTTTTTTCGTTCTTTGAAAAACTGAAGGACATCTGTTTCTTTTTAGAGTATAGTGAGTTTATTTTTCTCATGTTTATACCTCAAAATTGTTCAAAAGTACATGAGATTGTTACTCATGTAAAACGTATGAGATATACACTTAGATACCTCAAGTATGTGCTTTAAAGTCAAGTATATGAGACAAAAAAATAATTGACATGAACATACTCGAGAAATATTCAGAAGTCGTGACTGTCAAGCGCTGAAGAACAAAAGCTTCACTACGGTTAGATTGAAAAAGAAAAAAAGTTGAATATATAAAAACTATTTTGTCTCTTGGACGCTGCACATATACCATACATGAAAATATTCATCTAAATTTGATCTTATTTCGATCATTAAAAAATATTTTATGTCATAGACAAGGTTAATGAGGTTTACATAGGTATAATTTTATCCGTTTCTATTGTTTTTTGTAAGTAGTAATTATGTGCTGATTTTTTTATTTTTGACAGGGCAACTATATAAGGTTTATTTGTCGTGACATGTCAAAGGTTAATCAGATATAAAATAATATTCAGCTGCCAATTTTATCGATTTTTCTAGACTTAAAATATCTGTCGGTAACTATTCGTGTTGTAGTTTAACTTTTAATGAAATTTGATAAAAATGCAAATATATATTTGGCCAATAATACTCAAGCATTTTTTCTCAACATTAAAATCAGTTTTTGAAAAGATTGTATTTGGACACATTGACATGACCTGTACATTTTCATCAAATAAAACGTGTCTCTTATATTCTATACAAATAAAAGAAGGCCAAATACATTTTTAAAGATAAGATTTTTGTATCTGTGTATGCTACGTGCTGCCACTCATATTGTTTCATATTTGTCATTATCTCTTTTACCATGTAGATAACAACGGTTATGATTAGGTTTTTTTGTCGTGTGATTATGTACTTCCCCACTTTTTGCCCACCTTCTTCTATTAAAAAATATGAAAAACAACAATATCATATTACAATATTCCCTCAATTGTTGATCGATATCTTTTTTAAAAAAAGAATTTATTTTATCAACAAATGACAAACGGACAAAAATATCTATGTAATTCTATAGTTACTGGAATTTTTTGTTGTCAGCTAACTAGAAAAAAGCAAAGATTAAAGAGGTCCTTTGGTTAGTCTTGAAAAACAAGACAAGCTTTATAGTCGAAATTAAAAGTTTCTTTTAAAAAATGATATTTTAATTAATGAAAATTATACCGATTAATAAATACAAGCTCGGCACTTTTATTGAAAACTTTAGTGTTGAAAAAATGTATTTCGAAAATGAGCAAAAAGCCCCTCACGGAATGACATATATATCATAATATAAAAAGTTAAAATATTAATTGAATAGTTTCTGCTTAAAACAATAGATACCCTTCATGCGTGAAAGATGAAAAAACTACTCAGAATGCTTCTATTTACTAAAAACGTTTACATTTCTCAAACAAATAGTCTAATACATCTTGGTGTACAAATCTATCGAACTTATTGCTTGCCTTCATGTCTCGTAAACATTTCTTTGACTTTATATTAAATAGAAACTATGTTTGGATAGGTGACCTGGTATATCGAACATTGTTACTTATCAGTAGTTCAAACCAAATTAACAACAATTTTCAATAGTAAAAATAGTCTATTTAGTATCTAACTCCAATACACTAATTTTATAGTTAACTTTTGACATAATCTTGTTATTTATTCAACAGATTTCATAAGATTGATGTGTTCTTACCGTTTTTTCGTTGATGGTGTTTGCGGTCCATCAGTATGTGACTGTTGTTGATGTTCTTTTTTTCCCGTTGCATTATCCAATGTTTTCGATAATTGCCGTCGATACAATGGTTTTTCATCATCTGCCATAGCAGCTGTTGTTGTTGCCGATGGTTTTTTCGTTAATTCTGCAGCACTCGCTGTTTGTGTAATACTTGTTTTTCGTTGTGATGGCTGTTCAGTTGACTTATCTAGACTATGCACTGTTTGGGCATGAGGTAATTTTGTATTTGCTGTTGATGTTAAAGAAGTTTTCCTTGATGGTACACTGGAATGATTTGAAGTTGTATTCGTCGATGCAATCGATATATCATCGGATTTGAGCAATGAATTTTTTCTACTACTGGTATTAGTACTACTTGAACTATTTTTATGCATTTGAGGCGATGGCGATGATAATAATTGCTGTTGTTGTTGTGATTGTGATTGTTGTTGTTGTTTGACTACATTTTCCGATGTTGCTGACTTTTTCACGGATGGGGTAGCTAATGAAACGTTGACATCCAATGGTTTTTTTTTGGGCTGTAATTTTGGTGTTGTTGATGTCGATGAGGTAGATCGATTGAAACCATTTGTATTTTTTATATTACTATTTGGAGATGATAGATCATTTGATGTACGAAAATCACATATAGATCGGTATTTATCTAATACATTTTCTGTTTTTTTATTATTATCTGATGGAATGCAATCAGCTGTGCTTGTTGATATAGATGTACGCTGTTTTTCATGTTTTGGACGTAACTGTATACCAAATACATTGGCTACTTTAGCTTTATTATAATCACCTAGACCACCACTCATTATTATCGTTGTTATTGTTGTTCAATCTAGACAGATAAACATTGGATGTTTTTGTTGAATTTCTAATTGGAGTTGGCTGGAAAAGAAGAAGTTATAATTTCTATAAACAGAAAATAGAGAGATATGCACCGTTAGTTTTTCTCTTCTACTATATACTAATAATAAGTGTTAAAGAAGTACTTTCATTTCGGTGTTTCATATAGAGATTTTTGTTGGAATAAGATGTATTATTATTACTATTATTATTATTTTTCTGTTCGATATTGATGAAAAATATCTCTATATCCTATCTATCTATCTGTTCGTCTCATTCTCTCCTCTTTCTCTGTAGACAACTACGACGACAATAAAAAACAACAACAACAGCACCAATCTACACGCACAGTCGGATGAATAAAAAGCAGAAATAATCTTTTCCTCTGTGCAGAACAACACAGTAATAATATCTACAAACAACAACGAAGTGTCCCATACCTCGCAGAGAGAGAGGGAGAGAGACTTTTACGCACATTCAAACATATTACATAAACACAGTGCGGGAGAAGATTTTTTATATCTGTCCTTGAATTTTATTATAGAGAAGTTATCTTCTCTCTCTTTATATATACTGCGATGCCACGTCAGCAAGAAGAACAAGAAATTTACGGCTACTGCTAGTACTACTACAATACCTTGTTAGTGTTCGTTCGTATTCTTCGTACAATTATAATTAAAATCAATGTCTGTGTATTGAGATTATTTCAAGAATATGCAAAATCAAAATAGAAAACTATAAAATTATCATGATTATTCGTGAATAAAACAAAAGAAAACAAACATTTATACGCGTGATGATGATAAGATAAAAATCTACGCACTTTTCACAGTCATAGACATACCAAATTTATTCTTACTCATCGAATCTTTCAAGTAACAAATAAGTATACATCTTTTACGCAAATAATAAATCGTATTCATCATGTATTGTTCAGAATGCTGTTTTTCATAATTTCTTTATCATACGATCAGCATGATACACTAACAGCATTATGACCGTAATGGCAGAGAAAAATTCTAACCAATTTCTATGTACACAGAAATGCCAATAAGATTAGTATGTTTTTTTTATTTTTGAAAATCCTTCTTGTACCATATGCCAGAGTTAACTAAGTTTATCGAGTTACAACATTTTTTTTAAATTTGATATACGATGATTACATAATTAAAACTCTAGAAGATTATGTACAAGTTTTTGATCAACAATGCATACGTATCTTCCGATTTGTTGATATCGAGTAATTCGATTCGGTTATGCGTATTAACTCTGAATATGCTCTTAGTGACAAAAGTTTTCAAACCCTCCAAATTGCAGTTTTCTGAGTTAAAATCCAGTTTTCTACATCGTTTGCCAATATCTGCTGAGTTTTATGTACACAATTTATTTATAAGATATTGGATACAACTTGCGAAATAATCGATCTAAAATCGACTAATTTATTTAACTTCTTTATTTCTTCTTTATTTTCTTCTTTATTTTCTGAATGAAATCTTGAGGATAGAATCTGAAGGTTCTCTCTTCCTTATTAATTATTCTATAAAATGTCATTAACCTTCCTGACGAGAACTGAGGATCTGAAAGTCTCAAAACTTTACCATATTTTAAAATTTTCATGCTAATTACTCTGGAAGTATTTTTTTTATTTGCTTAAAGTCATATATCCATGTTATCTGACCTCTCTTAAGATAAACATTCTTAAGTCTTTAAGTGCTTATTCACTTCTGTTATCAATTATATCTCACTGATGAGGTAACGCTTGTTTCTCATTTATTTGTTCAGTAGAAGCCCTAAAACAAAATTCATCTCATCATACCACAATATTTCAGTCTAAAATAAACTCTTTATATATGAATCTTCACTTTTATTTGAATATATAACATTATCCAAGCAAAAACAATGGAGTTAGAGTCGGACAGTGGAAGCTAGCCCTCACAGTTTTCAGCTTGATCGAATGAGCTTCATTCGAAGAATCTTAACCTAGCAGTTATTATATGAATTAACCGCCTAGTCAACCGACTGATCGAAATAACTGTTATTAGAGCTAGATTTTCTTCATGGAGTATTTTTCATTTACAAGCCAAACATTGAAAGTGCTTTTTTACCTAAAGAGAATTAGTAATTGAATTAAAATGATGACAGTAGAAAATATAACCGTATCCATACGAAGATGTTTATTGCAGAGCGAATCCCAACCTAGACTTGAAATTCTTTTGTAGGTTCAGACTCTATTAAGAATCATGCGACAGTACTTCTTTTATGAGAAGGACAACAGACATTCGACATATTAATTTAGCATCACTATCACTTTTTTCCTATATTAGTTGGTATTTTTTTGGCACCAGTACCGTTAAAACTTTTTTTGATTAGGTAATCTTTAATTTAGTGATATTAAGGGAAAGGAAAATCTTTTTACAGCCTGATTTTTCATTTTTCAATATAATTATCAATGGCATTAATTTATGTAGTCTACGAAGAAGGTCTTTCATAGAAAAATTCAGAATGGCCAACTTCATGTGGGATGGCTAACGTGTGTGTAAATGATATTTTATTTCTGTATTGATCAGCATCATATATCGAGTACATGTGAATATTACAGTGTAAGAACAAAACAAAAGTGTGTAAGCTATGCTAGGAGAGAAACTTCTATTTGTTTTAATACTTTACATTTTTTGCAGTTATCTAAGAAACTGAAAAATTCAGAATATTGCATTGCCCTTCTAGATTATTGGATCTAAAATTGTGCTGATACTTTTTTATCTCGTGATCCGAACCCTCATTCGTCTTTGTTTTTTAAATAAATCTATATCATTTTGCTAAACACTTGATTAGAACTTTAGATTTTGTTGATAATCGGTTGAATTTCAGATATTATAAAAAGATGTTTCTTTGTGTTTTGATTCTGTACTTGTACTTGTTTGTACTTGATGATAAATAAAGTTGCTCGCTTGAGATAGGCAAAAATAATCAAAGAAACATACTAATAGTTTTGCTTTTATCTTATTTCAAAACATATCATCTTTCCATATTCTCTGGATGATTATCATTTCGTTTTTCATAGCTCAAGAATGACACAAAAAATATCAACTCGAGTAATAACTTCACAATTATATTACTGACTGATTTTTAATCGAGATTTTTCAACTTTTATGTGAAATATAGAATGCAAAAACTTGTACGTTTTACAATCCATGTTCATTTCACTATAAGCATACCATCGGTACGTGTGTTGATTAATTAACACGTGAAAACAATGCAGGAAAATGAGAAAGAGAAAAAAAATAGTTTATCACTTCATATGTATTAATCAAAAGAGATATCGATGATATATACACACATTTATATTGGCATCTATAAACATACATCAATGTTTTATTCAGCCACTGATGGCAACGTCGGCACAATAAAATACCAATTTAATCATGGTCGAATAATAATTGTTTCCTCGTTGCCATGAATGCGAAAAAAACTACCATTTAACAATTAATTAATTAACTTATATACAGCTAAATTAAGTCAGTTGATTTTCCTCATTTTTATTAGTTAACTATATTTCTCAAAAATATTTGGAAATTTTCTTTGGGTACGGCTGAATAAAATATTTATTTCTCTATCAGATACTGTTTAGGAATTATTTAAAAATTCGTTGTTCAATTTTTAATTACGATTGACCTTCCCAGGTATAGGCTTCAAGGTATAGGATCCAACAAGAATAAAGCGTGTATTAAAGGAAATGGGAATTTATAAACTATGTGTTAGAATATCTCACAAGAATACTCGCTAGAGTCATAAAAAATTCTATATTCAAGATAAACCAGTGCAAATACTAAGTGTGACTAAAGTATCTTCCTTTTTCTTTCTCAACTATTCGAATAAATAATAAATCAGTATATATTTCTACCATGCAGAGATAAATTATAAGAGATGATTATGCGCGTTGAAAATGATTGTTGTTCATCTACTAGTAGGCTCAAAACAACATAGAGATGAATTTGGCACACTTTTTTGGTTGTTCTTACCCTTTCTTTTGGGTGTTCATTGGAAATGTATGCTTAAACAAGCGCAACTATAAACATTTTTGTAGGTATTCGTTAGATGTTTCTATACTCAGTTCGACGACCTCTATCGATTGGTTAACTCAGATTTTAATTTGATTGTGTTCGTGGTTTTTAGCAATACTTGTTTAATTCATATCTTTGCCATAAATTTAATAAAACTAGAAAACTTCTCAAAAAATTATTTTCCACGAATATTTTATTTAACTGTAGAAAAATCACGTTAACTCAAAAATGGTTTTCGATTAAGAAAGATGTATCAGAATCATGTTTACATCAAGTTTTATTTCCGAGTTATTTCCGTTTATTGATTAAAAAAAAAGTTAATTTTATGATTAAGCACAAGCTAACGGTAACTCTATGAAATTTAGATGAAAAAACGAGCTTTTAGAACTGTACACATCTGTGGCTAAGCTAGGTGTTAAATCAATTCAAAAATACAGGATTCGACAGAGAAATGAGCGGACTATCTACTCATATGAAAAGAGAAAATTCAAAATATTTTGACAGGTTATAAATACGTGATGAGAGAAATGGATGAAAATACTGTTGCACAACCGAAAATCAGCTGAATGAAACACTACAGAGTAAAGTCTACTTCTCATTGGGCTTAATTTTGACAAATTATATCGTAGCGGTAGTCGTACTTCTAGTAGCTAATTTAATACAAAACTAGATATAAATCTAAAAACTAAATTTATTTTATATTTCTATACGCTTTAAATATAGGAAGAGAACTAGTAGCGCTCATATGCTTGAACAATGGTTTTCTTCAGACCTATCATCATTGCGCATTTGTACGCATGTATGTAGGTAGCATGGTGTACAAATTGTTTGTTTGTTTATTTAATCATCCTTTTTTTTTGCTCATCAATAACCAGTGAATCAAATTAATCTAAGAGGCGACAGCGCATGTCTAAGTTCAACCATTAAAACCGCACAGAACGTTGTTCATAATTCCGTGAATTTTAGGCATTTTACTGCGCACGACAGTAGTAGACTGAATTACTGTTAAGGATGTTCGCGTACCTATGCTTTCATGCGCCTTTGCATTCTTAAACGTCAAGGAAACGCTAAAGATGAAACTTACTTATGAAATCTATCTGTATCTATATTGTCCAGAAAAATGTTTGTCAATTCTTGTTTTATATGTTCCCGTTTTGATACAAACCGACGTAGCCTACTTTTACAAAAAAAGTCTCAGTCCATATCGAAAACATTGAATCTTTTATAGTAGAATTCTGTTTCTCAAAGGCTAAGACCATCTCTTTCATGTTTTCGTTTTCTTTTTCCTATAGATTATTCTTTTGCGGAAATTACGATCATGTCCAATATAATTACTGCACAAAAGAAATGTGGCAAGTGTGAGAGGGTATGCTTACGTTTTTGATTTTTAGTGTTTTTTTCGGTTAATATATTTTTCTTGTTTACAGGTTGTGTATCCAACAGAAGAATTAAAATGTTTAGATAAAGTAAGAAAACATTACATTTTTCATTTTAGTTTTGTAGTTTCACATTTTTGCAATCTGTATAGACAAATTACATTGTGGAAGTCTAGGGTAAGAGCCAGTGATGTTTGATGTGTGTATCATCCTAAGTCTCTTCTCATTCATCATTTATTCTTAATAAAACACAATAAAATATAAAAAAGCATCAACCAATATTTGTAATAGCATGGTGTGGTGCCTGCTTATTAATTTAATTATTTCTCATGGTTTTCTTGTCATCATTATTCTTAGTTTTGTTTTACCCTTTCTCTATTCTAGTTTTGGCATAAAGCTTGCTTTAAATGTACAACCTGTGGAATGACATTAAATGTTAAAAATGTGAAAGGTTACGATAAATTGCCATATTGTAACGTGTAAGTAGATACAAAAAACTTTAACAGTAACTCAAGAAAAAACTAGTCATTTTATATTTCCTGTACATTGGATATATATATATGTATACATACTGCACAGGAAATATAAGCCTTGTTACACGAGGTTTCTTAATACATCTAAAGTTTTCACATATCTTACATTTGAACGATTTTATCCCACTAGTGTGCCTTTTTCTCTAATGTTAAAATATTTTTCACCTGAGCTGTATTTTCATCTTCATTTTAGTCATTATCCACAGCAAAAACCAACCGTTGTCGTTGATAATCCAGAGATGCAAAGAATAAAACAATTAACTGATATTCAAAGCAACGTATGTAAAATATAATAATAAACATACTAGCTACTTTTATGACGAAACTTTACCTGAAAAGTTTCTAATTCTAATAAATTTTGATATAAATAAAGCCTACTAGTCTTCATTAAAAGAATCAGACTAACTGTACAATCTGAAAATAAGAGTTTCTTTAGAATAGTCGAATGAAACATTTCGATTCACTATTTTAGGTTAAATATCACGAAGACTTTAATAAAAATAAAGGCAAGTTTACTGCTGTATCAGATGATCCAGCTACAATTCGAGCTAAAGAACATCAACGTGTTGTCAGCCAAGCTGAATATACAGGAAAGCGAAAAGATAGTACAACACAATTGATTCAAGGTAAATCAATAAACTTGATTCTCATTGTTTATTGTGGCAAGTGACTCTTTTCTCTTAGATAATCAACAACATCATCCGTTTCATATGTCTCAGCAACAACCAGTCCAGCATCATTATCCATTGTCTTCTCAGCAACCGAATGGAAAAGGAGGAGACCTGACAACAGCGGTCGGAAGAGGTAAAATTGTTCCGCTATTAAAGGATGCATCGGCAAAATTTATTTGAAGGACTAAAGATCTATGTCACTTTGTTTCTCTCTTGGTTGCAGCTCTGCATATCATTTCTCTTCTTGTATTATTTAGTTGCTGACTATGATCCATTGAATGATGATCGTGGCTCGCTAATGAGAGGCTATGAACCAACATCGAAAGCTTTACACGCTACAAGTAATTTGAAAAGCTTTTTTATGCTAACTCAGCTGATAATAAAAATTATGGTATTTTGTTCAGAGTTTGAATCGCAAGGTGCAAGCAAAAGCAACGTTTATCATCCAACAATGACATCTTCAAATTTTAATTCTGAGAATAGCGGCAGACCTCAACAAAATCATCAAGATACACATCAGCAACAAAGTAATAATAATAATAATAATAATAATAATCATACACAAAAATATGAACCCGAAGAGGAACATCAATATCATACAGTAAATTCGCATGGCGATGGATCAGGTTCTCATATGAAAGTTCGTGCATTATACAATTATCAAGCAATGGAAAATGACGAAATATCATTTAATGAGGGCGGTAAGTGCAGCCGAGTATATGATGTATGCCGGTGAAACGCCGACCATCAGAGGGTTTTTCAGCCATCGATGCCGTATAGGACGGAAAAATTCCGGTTATTCACACGCCGCCGCGAAGAAAAAGTTTTTTCCACGCTGTTGCCGCCGACTGAAATAATCGGCGTTTGACAGAATCAAAAAAATGCCTGACGTCTTGTAATTATAAACCGCCCTATTCATCTTTTCCCCTGTTTCCCCAATCACGCTGCAGTCTTAAACTACTCTTAATCATTACTTCCTTGTAAGTTACGAGAGATGACTGGAACGATCATAATAGCTAATTTACAACTATTCATTACACAAAACGGATATCACATTCTTGTAATTTCTTTTAACAATCGATTTGATTACTTCTCTGTAGTGGTTGAGAAACAAGATGTCAATGAATATTCTGTCTTTATGTTTTCTGTTCCATTTAGATCTTATTGTTGAATGCGAAGAAATTGATGCCGGATGGATGTTAGGCAGACATAGTGAAACAAAAGATAAAGGTTTATTACCATCAAATTATGTTGAGATTATTGAACGATAAGCTCATTTTGACTGTTTTCAGTCATAAAACACTCTACTGTTTTTTTGTTTTCTATATTATTTTGAGTTTTGACATATGTGTGCATTAACATGCAATGCTTTCTTTGTATCTATTGCGTGAATAACATGATTCATTTTTCGTTTTCGACTGTATATAGTTCTACACACACACTCTCTCTGTTTGTTTGTTTGAGTAAAAAACAAAATACACACGATGATTATAATTTCTGTTATATCCTTTTTCTAATGTGTTTAACACATTTCGTAAACATACACATACACGTAGAGTTTGTAATTGTCAGAATCGCAAATTCAAACAATTCTCGCTTATGTTTATTCTCTTTGTTTTATTATTGTTGCCGTGTATTTTTATATCTAGTTCTTCCTATTCTGCAGTTTTGTGTGTATGTGTTTGTCTGTTTTGTGTAAAACAAAAACAAAACATTCATGTTATGGTTGTTATTTACTGTTTTGTTTATTCTTTTGTGTTTCTTGCAGTTTTCTTATAATGTGCTTTTTGTTTTCTCAAAAAATATGCCTTTTTTTGCTGCGTTAAATTTAATTAGATTTTATGACAAAATAAAATGAACGGAAACATCAAACCATGAGCTACTTACTCATGTTTAACATTTTATATGTATACGAATACTTGTAAATGGTAAAGGATTGCTCATGATGTCAACAATTATAAATGTCATACTCTGTGTATACCAAGTGCTAAAACTAGTCTTGATAGAAATTTCTGGATGATTTGTCAACATCGTATTTTTACAATTATGAAATCTGTAGATTGACTACTGCACGTTCTTTTTTTCAAACAGAAGTTCAGATTCGACGTCATAAGCTACATACGTGGAAAAACAAAGTGTTTTGGACTCGATAGTTTTTTAAAGTTCATTATCATCAGTTGTCCAGAGCCATTTGTTCTTAAGAAGAAAAAGAATTCTCTCTCATGCCTCTTTCTCTGGTCTTCATATTTCGTTCTCTGTCCTATTCTCCTCTCTAATTATCTCTGTTAAAGTAGCTGAAATAGAAAATCACAGTGGAAATCTACTGGCTGAATTGATCACTGTTGGCAGCTGTCAGCAGAGACAGTGTGTGTTAACATCGAAACTTGTGCACAGCAGAATTACTTTCTAGTTTATTTATTTAAATTTACATGAAAAAGCACTTTTTTGATATTAAAAAGAAATACTTAAAACAATTCGATACTTTGGCGAATTTATTATCGTTTTTACAACGAAGACAAGTTTCTTATGTTAACATTTTACCTTAACAATTTCGATATTCCTTCGACATATTTCAAGATTTGGATGGTTTTCAGGCAATACTTTTGATCCAATGTTTAATGATTCTGCAAATTTGTTTAATGCTCCTTGGTAGTCTCTTTTTTTGTATAAGACAAGTCCAATGTTACATTGAGTAATAGAAATTAATGAGTGATCGTTTGGTAAACATGTCTGTACTATATTGAGAGCCTTTTTATGGTTCATTAATGATTCATCGTGTTCACCATTCGCATTTTGAAGTAATCCCATATTATTATATGTTTGAGCAAAATCGGGATGTGCATCTCTTGGTAACTGTTGATTTTATAGTTGATATGCTTTAGAAAAATTGTCCATGGCTTTCGGATAATCACCCATATTCTTATAAATTGTGCCAATATTGTTGTGTATTGATGCTAATAAAAGATCTGATTGAGGAGATTTTAATGCCATTTCGCGTGCCTTCTCATAGTACTGTAGAGCTTCAGTATTATTATTATTTTTCTCAAATATTGTTCCTAAATTAGTGTAGATTGCTGCTTGATTGGGATAATTTGGAGGTATACATTTTGTTTCAATGGTAAGTGCTTCAAGAAATTGTTTTTGTGCTTCGCTATACATACCCTTTTCATTATTTACAATTCCTAGATTTGTATGAATAGCTCCTTTAAGAGAATGATTATTAGTTGACAAAAGCATTTTATAATATCGGTCAGCCGAATCATAATCATCCATCATAACCAAAATTTTTCCAATTATTAATGTAGGCACTGTAGTGTTAATCTCTTTTTTGATGAATGTAGCCAGTTCTTTTACTTGAACATCTTCATCATTTATCAATTTTAATCTTATACACCATACACGATTATCTGATTGTTCAACTGATTCAATACAAAAAACAGATGCCATTGAAAGCATTATTTCTTCGCTATCTGACATATTTACCATGTGTTTAATTGGAGCAAATGGTTTCTTTATCGTATGAATGTTAATTGTTATATGAAATAATACTGATTCTCCTTGTGTCATTTCTGATCCATATCCAGCGAATATTAGAGCCATTTCTCTGTTTCTAGTTGTCATTAAAAAATGTTTTATCATCATTAGTCCACCAATATTATTTTTTAAATGTTTTAAATTCTCACGTGACATGACTTGTCCTAGATAGACAGTAACAATCTTTTGATTCACTAATAAATTTTGAATAAATTGAGAATGTATCTGACATAATTGGTTGTTTAAATCAATAATATATGAGTGAAATTTAAACATGAGTTGAATATCATTGGAATTTAAAATATTATTTAATAGAGAAGAAATGTAGTCCTGAGTATTCCACCAAATAGCATCATTCGATTTATATGTTCTATTAAAATCATCAATAACTTTTAATGCATTTGGCTTATCTTTATAATTCAATCGACAATATTGTACCATTTCATTTTTACTCGAATCCAGTGGTGATATATGTAAAAATACATCTATGAGTAATTGATGCCACATGTATTGAACATTTTCAATTGGTTTTGTTTGTGTAGTTAAAGTTGGAAAAGAAGTTGATTTTGTTGTTATTTCAGTTTGTGAAGAAATCTAAGGTACGTTAGATTTTAAATTTGATGTATTTGAAGATGTTTGCATCAATTTTATATTTGATTTTGCATCTTTTAAGTATGATGTCTGTGGATTTTGTTTACTCTTTGTTAAACTCATTGAGGCCATAGATGAGGTAACAGTTTCTTGACATGTACCAGCATCTTCAGTGAGTCTTATTAAAAGTGAATTTTGATCATGAAAAATTCCTCTCACTTTTGTATATTCTTTGTGTGGCCAGTTTTCGTTTTTATTATTATTAGAATAAATATAAATGTGTAGAATTCGTGGAAACTCATGAATAACGGAAATAACATGTTCAGCTAATGTTTTTGAAACAATAAATAAAAAATCTTCTTGCTCATTTGAAAGAATATAATCGATACATTGTTCGGTATTTTTTATTATTTTAATTTTGTGAGCAATTGAATGTTATCTAGGCATGCAACCATCCCAAACTAGGAATCGCTGATCGGCACCGAACGGTTTGTTACCGAACATGTTCGGTCATCAAACCGTTCGCAACCGAACGGTTCGCTACTGAACTGGACTAATGCCTGATGCCTGATCTGGACTAAACGCAAATTGAATGAAATTAAAGCTTTTGAAGGAACTAACCAGTGAGAAAATAGACTAAAGTACAATGTAAGCGAATGTGTCTTCTACTGAATCGCTACCAAAGGTTTAAAAAAAATAGTTTGTCAAAGCTAAGAACATGAGAACGAAGAAACATCTTCAGTAGCGAACCATTCGGTGACCGAACATGTTCGGGTGCGAACGGTTTGGTGCATACCTAATGATATGTAGTATTTATTTGCAATAAATTTTCATCTAGCCATAATACATTAATATTTTTAGATGTTTGGCCATCTATAATTTGTTTTGATAATAGCATCGTATATCGACAAGCTTAATTATTTAAATTTTGTATATTTTTGGTATTCCACACTCATACAGTTTATATTCCAAAGATGACCACTTTTTTTCTTTTCTCTATTTTTTCGTATTTCACGATAACAAATGTAACACGTGTAAAGGAAATAACCAGAAAATGAAATTTCTTTTTTCCATTTACTTAACTATAGGATAAAAACGAAAAAAACTACCCAATATTTGTTGGATTTTTCCAATTTTTGATTTTTTATAACTCATTTGAATTCGGAGAGAGCATAGAGCCTCGTTTATTTTTCAGAGTTTTATAATAATATACTATAGGAATGGACGGATGTTTCACCATTGATAATTATATGAGAAAAGAAAACGGCAAATAATAGTTTGAATATGGATGCTTGAGAGTTTTATTATTATTTGGGATATACACGGGCGGCCAAAATTATTTGTACGATCAGTATTTGTTCATAATTCTGTGACCAAGGTGTTTTTTTAAATTGTGAAACTACCAGGAGATTGCCCGTTGGCTCCGCCCTCTATGGTAAAATTTGGCAATCACTAGGCCTTTTGCATTTAGACTTATGGCTATAACACTAGAGACGTCTATGTTTTTTTGGCCAAAATTATTTGTACGTTTGATAAAAAAAGTTTTTACGTTGTATAAGCACCAACAAAATATGAAAACTACATCAACAGATAGAAGAGAGCACGGGCTATATTTTGGTAGAAAAAAAATTTTTGAAAAGCTTTTTCCTTAGGATGAAAACGCGACTTTAAGCCAGAAATGTCATATTCTTCAGTGTGACTCTCCATCTCAGATATGAGTGACTGAAAAAAAATTCCGATTAAGCCATTCGAAAGAACGTCCAAAACTGAGTAAGATAAATATAGTGCGAAAGTTAAGTGAGAGAATTTGACCCATCTTTTAATATTTTGGATCATGGGGCTATTTTTGAAATATCTTTTCTGCAAGGAGAATAAACATTTTTTGGATATCTTTGCGTCATCATGTAGTCAAGCAGTTACTGTATATGGGTATGAAAAGAGAAATTTACACTTTTAAGTTCAGAGGGTAAAATGGAGTTTTTGAACATCAAAACAGGCTTTCCATCTATAAGAAACATTTTTCATCAAAAATTAACGTCATATTCGTGCTCAACGTCAAAAACTGCGTTTAGTGATGTGTCACTCGAAGTTTAGCAAAACTTCTCCTTTCATCTAAAAATAACGTCTAAAGACATTGTTTTTGTGACAGATACTAGACACCTGACAGCGGAACAAAGACATTTTTGACAAGCAAAACTTTTGCGAAAGGAGAAGTTTTTGCTAAACTTCGAGTGACACATCTAATGAAAAAATGATGAAATTCTTTTAATAACGGTTCCGCTGAAATTTCAAATATACTGTAAAGTTGTCCGTAAAATACTGCATCTTTTATGTATGTTTCAGAGTTTTAGAAGAAATATTTGCGAGAAAAATATTTGCAGTAAAAAATGTGGAAACACCGTAAAAATCCCTTTTCTGACAGACCTCGGCCATTGTTCTTTTTTAATTCGAAACAACCAAAAAGTTTTCATTCTTCAACCTAATAGCCACATCATTTTTGTTCAGAATGAAATTCTACTTGCGACGGCTTGAAAATAAACGTTTCATAGGCCAAGTCTGGCTTTGGAAAACATGATTTTTCAAAATGCATCCAAAAATACCACTAGGTGTTAGATCAAACCCTATTTTTCCTGAATGATAGCCTTCGGAACCTTGAAAAGATCGTGGAAGTATAGAGCACAAAATTCTCTATCTATCTATTTTAAATACTTCACTTATAGCATCGGACTTGATGAGCACAGACTTACACAAATTGATAGATGTGTACAGAAAACAGGAGATCGCAGTTAGACGATTGAGTAGGTGTTAATTTTTTAGATTTTGTGTCGTCAAGAAGAATTTATTTGAAAAATAAAGTCGATAGTTTTGTAGAGCAATGAATTGTCTATCAAATGAGCTCAACACCGGGTTTTAATGTCTCAAAAACAGAAAACAAAAGTGATCGGTTTAATCTGATCAACTCGTTATATATGAACATATACATTACACAAATTTGTCTATTATATTTGTGAAACATTTGACTTGTTACTATTACTGCTTTTATTGTTATTTACTACATTCGATATATTGTTTGATTGACAAATGAAAGATATAATTCATCACTGACATTTTTTTTGAGTTATAAATTTAAAAGTATATTGTAATACTCCATAGTTAGTTACTTTTATAAATATATAACGATATCTACTCATGAAGACTCTATCAAACTCGAATATTAATTGAGCTCATCAAATTGAGGAAATTATCTGTTAGGTTAAGTATGACTAATTTAAATTTTGACAGATCCAAAATTTCATTTTACAAATCACTAATAACTAGTCTATTACAAAATTAAAAAAACTTTGTTGAAACGATTTGTAAAACAAAATCATTTCAGTAACGATAAAGAATCGACTCTTCTTCACTAGTGAAAAAAACAGAACATCAAAATGACCGCTTCAATTAAACTTATATTATATCTATTTCTGTTATCCATCGCGTTATTTCGTTTAACAACATCGAAAACATTTTATCGACAAAAATCAATTAATTCAAAAGATAATAGTGAAGATAACAGGCAAGAAGAAAATGTTGTAGTTCTGCGCCGATCTTTATTAATGAATCCATTCGATTATTACCGACCGATTAACAGACAAAATCAACACTATTCAATATTAAATAAGCAAAAGTCAAATCGATCATTTACAATTGCATTTCCAGCTCTTATTCGAACAAAAAAACATATAATCTATTAATTTATGAACACATACGAAACTCAGTTTTATGGTTTTCCTACTCTTTCACGTTATGTTAAAATAAAAACCCATTTTAATCAATAAATTTATGTTTTTCACTCTCTTCTCTAGAATCATATTCACAAGCTCGATTAATAAATTCATCCTATTGACACAAGATAAAGAAAGCAAATGAAAAAACATGATCTAATTCAGTTGAAAATTTGTCAAGGATTCTGATGTTGTTTCACGTGTAGATTATTCTAAAACAGCCCGATATTTCTTTACCTTTGAATAACTGGTTTATTGTTTACTGTTACAACTACTATTTGTGTTCTGATGTATTTTGCATATAATTTATATTTAATGTATTAATAATTCTCTGTTTATTAAGTATTTTGATTGAGCTTGGATTTTTAATCTTACCGATCGGTTTAATTTTACAAACTTTTCCATTTAGGAAAAGAATGAAGAAATAAAATTTTGCGCTTTAGTGTCGATGCAGTGATGTTGTGCGTCGAAGTGTCGGTCAATCAAAATAAAATACCAAGACGTAAAGATCTTGGATTCTTAAATTCTTAAACTCAAGATCTTGTGAATAAAAATTTCAGTATTTTGAGTGTAATAAGACAACATGTTTCATGATGGTGAATGACAAATTTTTTTATATATTTTCTTGTCTTATATAACAGTCACCTACATCAGACATACTCGTAGACGAAAGGAAAACGTTTGAAGTTATATGTAACGAAGAGTGTGAAACAAAAAGATGATTCAGGACTTATCCAGATCTTACTGAGAAAATTCAAAAAATCAAGATCTTCATTACAAGAAGTTCCACTAGGTTACTGTATGTTTAGTGTTCGTTAAAATTGAGAGAGGCTTATTCATTCTATACAGCAAAAGGAATAACCATGGATGCGGCGATGGGAAGGTATAAAGGAGTGTGTACTCTCCTACTTTTAAAAAATGATGTTTTTTCTTCGGCAGATCTAATTTGGAAATTTTACTTTTTAAAGACTCACTCCCCTTTAGATCTTGTCGAAATGCCTGCACATATGTACTCAGCAAGAGCACTTGAAAACTTTGCCGACTGTAGGTCTCCTCCCTCCCATTTTTTTTCCATCGCCATACCCCTGGGAATAACCTGAAGTGTAGATAAAACGACACATGCAACAATATGTCTAAAGTGTCCTAGATCAT